TTTCTCTTTTTATATTGAATGTTAAGTTATTTTGCATCTTAAAAGAAATTAAATGAAATTAATTAATGAAGTGGTTGTTGATGTGGCAGCACCAAAAGAAAGAAAAACTTATTTTATATGTTTGCTATTTTTTATATTAAATTTTAATATTATTTTTTATTATTTTCTGTTTTTCTAGTTACCAATTCTCGTCACACACTCGTAAAGTTTCGTTTTCAATCATAAAATACTTAGAGCTAATGTATATTATTATTTTTTTGTTTTGTTATTTTGTATTTGGTTGGTTTTTATTTTCTGACAATACATTATAATTGTGTTTTTATGTTTGTTATTTTTTATATTGAATGTTAATGTTAATTTATATTTTTCTGTCTTTTTAATTACCAATTCCATCATACACTTGCAGAAATCAGCCTTGTATATTAAAATATTAAGAGCTAATGTATGTAATTATTTTTTAGTTTTATTTTATTTTATTTTCTGACAACATATTATAATTATCTATTTATTTTTGTAATTTTATATTGAATATTAATATTTTGTGTATTATAATTACCTTTGAATATTTACTATTTTCTTATATTGAATGTTAATGTTATTTTGTGTTTTAAAAGAATTTAAATAAAAAATAATTAATGAAGGGATTGATGAGGTGGCAGCACCAGAAGAGAGAAAAGCTTACTTTATATATATTGAATATTAATATTTTGTGTATTATAATTACCTTTGAATATTTACTATTTTCTTATCTTGAATGTTAATGTTATTTTGTATTTTAAAAAAAATTAAATAAAAAATAATTAATGAAGGGATTGATGAGATGGCAGCACCAGAAGAGAGAAAAGCTTACTTTATATATATATATATAGAAGATTTATTATTTATAATAATATATTTGTATAAAGTTTTCGTTTGTGAAAAAATATTTAATGGGTTTGAACAATTATATATATATATATACACAAAATTCAAAATACTTTAAAAAATAAAATAAAAAAGTTTTTTATTCTTTGTTTTTTTGTCTACTACTTTTGTTCAACTTTTTTTTTTTCATTATAGTTTTTATCTCATTCTGTCACATTTCGTTCCATTTTTGAATTTTAATTTTCTTTATATAATTAGAATATATTCAAATATAATATAAATTTTGTTTTTTGTTTGTAATATGACAAGATAAAATGATAATAAAAGTTAAAAAAAAATTGTCCTTCTAAACTGCAAATTTCACACAAAGAGACTTGAACTTGTAAATATTTTTCTAAAAAACATACTTAAAAATAAGATTCCAAAAATGTTCTGTCAGACCCGATTCCGCAAATTTTTTACCAAAAACGTGAATCAGTAACTTTCACACCAAAAAATATACATCAAAAATATGTATCAAAAAACATTTTGTCAGAATTTCAATTTTGTGAATTTTTCGCCAAAAAGTGAATCAACAAAAAAATTATATTAAAAATATGATTCTAAAAACTACTAGTCAAAAATTTTGATTTCATAAATTTTCCGCAATATAAGCGAAGCCGTAAATCATTCGCCAAAAAAACTTACTTAAAAATATAATTCAAAACGTAAATTTGTAACTTTAAACCAAAACATTAATTTTAGAGTATTTTAATTTGATTTCATTAATTTTTTGGCAACAATTGTTGTAAAAACTCAAGTTCGATCTATAGAAGAACTAGGGTTTGTGGGTTTAAAGAGAGATCTTTTATTAAAAATAGCCGGAGCTTGATAGAATACACGGATGTTAGGTCGTCGGAATAAGAACGCCGACCTAAGCTTTTAAGGAAAGTAAATCGAGAGCTAAGAACAATTGGATTGCTTAATTTGCCTTAGGTCTCGAGAGGTGATTTTTGGATGATCTGAGAAGTCGAGGACTTCTCATATTTATAGCCGATCAGGTCGGTCTTCTATGTCGGTTCGGAATAAGAAAGTTTCCTTGCCGATAAGACTAAACTTCCGTTTTTCCCGGGTTCATTCGATAAATGGAAGATTTCCATTTATTTGGCCGACCCGAACCTTGTAAGATGGGTCGACCAGGATTCATATCGGGCTTGTAGAGATGGTGTGAATCTCATCTCTAACAGTAAGTCCCCCCCCCCCCCCCCCCCCCCCCCCCCCAGTTCGGCAAGTGAGGAGACGTTACTTGGCGAATTTTAAGAAGTGTTGCTCGATGTGGATTCTGGTCGGCTGCCAAAAGAGTTAGAATATATAAAATGTAATTATAAGAAGACAGTCTTACATGGAGTTCAGATCGGCACATTGGTGCGAGTCAGATAGAGAGTTTGGGCACGAAAAGTTCCCGCTAAAAGGTGATGTAACTAGGTCTAGGTCTGCGCATGCAGAACTAGACTTGACATGTGTCAATCATGAGGGGAGGAAAGCGAAGAGGCCGATTTAAATATATCGAAAAGAAATGTGAAAGGTCGCTGATCCAATGATGATTTTCGATAACCGCTCTCATTTTGTATAAATAAGAGGGGTTCGGCTTCATATTTTTTCACTTCTGCATTTCAGCGAAACTCTGTCAAAATATTTGCTCTCTTCTCTCTCTTCTTTGCTCTTCATTTTTATATTTTCCGATTTAGACCTCCGCCACGTTTTGTTCGGTCTCCACCATGTGATTTCTCCGATCAACTTTGAAGCAGCTATCGAAGTCCCAATTTGCGATGAGTAAAAATTTAAGTATTAGAGAGGGCCGATCTGAATCGAAAGATAACAGGTCGGCTCAAGCGAAAGCCGATGAGATCAGCGTTTCCTTGAGGGAATTCCTGGAGATATCGCAAGCCGACCAAGAAGCGAGAAACCGATCAAAGGGCAAGGGAGTTGTCGTATGCCGATCAGAATCAGATCGGCCTTCAGACGCGAGTGATCTTTCAGTGCTGGATCGAGCCTTCCAGGAACGGGCTAGGGAAGAAAATCAGAGGGCGGCAGCAGATCGCTTCCACGCCGACCAGGTCGGGGCCGTTCTGATGGGTGGAGAAGCATCCTCTCGGGAACCGTTTTTGATCCCGCAGCTACGTGATGAGGAAGACGATCGGGGTGGCTCAAACGAGATGAATATCTCAGACGAGCTGAATACGCTCATCGTGGAAGACGAGGCGAATCAGTTTGGAATCGTCGATCTGAACCCTCCCACTAAGAAGGTCAAGAGGAAGAAAGGCGAGCCAGCTCCAAAGCCGGTCTGTGATAATCCCCTCGGAGTAATGCCGACCAAGTCGACTATGGAGTCCTTGGTTATGCTGAAGGAGGAATGCGATAGTCCATCGGAATGGCCGTGCAATGCTTCCCACAGACGGCGCCAATTGTAAAAACTCAAGTTCGATCGATAGAAGAACTAGGGTTTGTGGGTTTAAACAGAGATCTTTTATTAAAAATAGCCGGAGCTTGATAGAATACACGGATGTTACGTCGTCGGAATAAGAACGCCGATCTAAGCTTTTAAGGAAAGTACATCGAGAGCTAAGAACAATTGGATTGCTTAATTTGCCTTAGGTCTCGAAAGGTGATTTTTGGATGATCTGAGAAGTCGAGGACTTCCCATATTTATAGCCGATCAGGTCGGTCTTCTATGTCGGTTCAGAATAGGAAAGTTTCTTTGCCGATAAGACTAAATTTTCGTTTTTCTCAGGTTCATTCGATAAATGGAAGATTTCCATTTATTTGGCCGACCCGAACCTTGTAAGATGAGTCGACCAGGATTCATATCGGGCTTATAGAGATGGTGCGAATCTCATCTCTAACAATTGTGATATCAAAAAAAATCAGCAAAATATGTTCTCATATATTTTCTGCTAAATACTTAAAATCCATAAATTTTCCAACAAAAATTTGAGTCAAAATGTGATTTTAAATCTGTATGACAAAATTTTTATTTTCCAAATTTTCCGCCAAAAACTCAAGTACTTTAATTTTCTATCAAAATTTTAACGCTAAATTTTATTTATACATTAAATAATATCATATCACAAGTCACATGTACTAAAAATTAACATGTCACAATTACAGTATCATTATACATCATCATTTTCAGTCATATTTAAATTATTTAAACTACACATATTAACTAATAAAATTAAAACAAGTCAATATTTTTTATTAAACTATACTTTCCATTAATATATATGTATACAAGTATTGGTAGGATCTAATTGGACGTCTAGCGAACTAATCCAAAAACTAAACGTGGATTACTTGCAGAATTTTATATCTGCAGTTCTGTAATACTATATATATTAACAAACCTAATCCTGATTATCTTCTTCTTATCCTTATGAGAGTCTATGACATCTTAAATCCCGCAATTGTTTTTTTGTTAATAGAAAGGCTTTTAAAAGATCTTAATATATATATTTATTTATTTATTTTTGATCAAAATATATATATTTATTCGATCGATACAAAAAAAAGTGGTCGCTAAAACTTTCAAACAAAAAAAAATTGAAAATTGATCCCGCAATTATTTCTCACATGGTTTACCATTTTGACTCGCTCTTCCTACTTGTTTTTATATCTCGAAACTTTTATTATAGGTAGAGGAAATAATTTTGAACTTAAAACAATAGAGAAAGCGATATTTATCTAAGATTTCAATATTTTTGCCGAGCAAATCATCAACATGAACGTTTCACGGCCTAGGAGACCTTGGAAGCTTGGGACCATGTTTTAGAACATTGCCTATAATATTTATCTAATAGTGCATTTTATTTATTTATTTTTAATCGGAGTATCGACCGTTGCATATTTTCACTTTCCTCGTGACCGGACCGGCCGACCCTCATCATTGAAAGGTAGGGAAGCACTTGCTTTAATAAAATCCAAGTAAAACAACCATAAACATATATATACCTTGAAAATGTTTAATGGTATGATAATGATACCTTTAAAGTTAAACCTTGAAAAAAACGTGAGATAAGTTTAGTAAAGAGTAAAAAAAGGTGAAGAAAGACAATAATTGGTGAAGAAAAAGAATGTTAGAAGCGAACATATTGGTCCATCCTACACTATAAAATTCACCTTCCGTTTCTCTCCCTCTCAACTCAAAACCTATACTCAAAATTTCTCAGATCATATAGGAGATGGAGAATCTTAGCCTTAATGATCTCTCTCAGATCCTTCCTCGTGTCCTTGTCGTCTCTAGACGCACACTTCGCAAGAACAAATTCGTCGATTTCGTTGGTAATAGTCCTTTTGATGATTCTTTGGAATGTTCTATTTTTTTCTTACATTTTCCTCTAAATATTCAGTAATTTTTTTTTTTTTTGAACTTAAATATTCAGTAAGTTCATGTTGGATTTGTTTGTTTCCTGCAGGTGAGTACCATCTTGATCTCATAGTGGAGCACGGTGCTGTGCCGGTGATTGTACCACGAGTGGCTGGTGTTCACAAGTTGTTGGAGAGCTTCAAGCCCATCCATGGAGTTCTCCTATGTGAAGGAGAAGACATCGATCCTTCTCTATATGAGTCCGAAATATCGTCACTTTCACCTGAAGAACTCGACGAGATCCGGAAAACACACGCCAGTGATGCAGCTATTGACAAGGAAAAAGACTCTATTGAGTTTGCTCTTGTAAAGCTATGCCTTGAACAGAACATTCCTTACTTGGGGATTTGCAGAGGATCACAGGTACAGTACAACCTCAAATTAATAACTTAATAAGTGTTAGCCATCCAAAATCCATTCCAAAACATTTGGAAATCTGGAGGAGAGGGGATCAAAATAAATCAATTTAAGAAATATTCTATATTTTATTGTTAATATCAATTTGTGAAATATTTACATCGCATATATTGTGATATGCATAGAACAAAACTATTGTTATTTCTTTATATAATTCTCATACTTTATTTTCAAAAACATACTCTAAAATACTTTTTTAATATTTTATTTAAATACTTTTCACAATTAATCTATTTTATTTTCTAAAAACAAATTGTCCGAACCGGATATCTATGGATAGCAGATATCTGAAGTCTGGATATCCAGAAGTATATGATTCATCTTTGCTGTTACTAAGAAGACGAGACCTTAAATCATTTGACCACCATTCATGATATTATCGAATCGGATGTTGTACTTGCAGGTTTTGAATGTTGCTTGTGGTGGAAGTCTGTATCAGGACTTGGAGAAAGAGCTCACAACTAAGCTCCCCGAGGAACGTAGAAGAAAGCACATTGATTATGATGACTATGATGGTTATAGACATGAAGTGAAAATAGTAGAGAACAGTCCTTTGCATAAATGGTTCAAAGATTCCTTGGATGAAGAAAATATGGAGATCTTGGTCAACAGTTATCACCACCAAGGGGTTAAGAGATTGGCGCAGAGGTTCGTGCCAATGGCATTTGCTCCTGATGGATTGATCGAAGGGTTTTATGATCCTGATATGTATAATCCTAAAGAGGGCAAGTTCTTAATGGGTTTACAATTCCATCCAGAGAGGATGAGAAAGAACGGTCTCGAAGAATTCGATTTCCCTGGTTGTCCTGTCGCTTATGAGGTTTGTGGATTTTGATATAACAACTTTTACTTTTTCTTGATTTGAGTTCATGTTCTTATGTGGTTTATTATTAACAGGAATTTGCAAAGGCAGTGATTGCATACCAAAAGAAGCTGAATAGCTCTTTGTCAGTTCCTAAAAAATTGGAACTCAATCCAGCAATGGAAAACAAAAGAAAGATACTTGTCAGGAGCTTCTCGCTTGCGAGGTCTATGTACACTAGATCTTATTCGATGAAGAACCAATCCACAGAATCAGAACTCAAAGTTGGAGCTGAGTTTCTTGAGGTACTTAACACCAAATCTTGTTTTGTGTTGAACATAATCTTGATCTATACTCCCTCCGTTTCAAAATAAGTATCGTTTTAGAGTTTTATTTTTGTTTCACAAAGAATGTCGTTTTGTATTTTCAATGTATTTTTTTAAATAAAAATCTTATTTTAACCCTGTTATATTAATGTATTAATTAGAAAGAGAATGTTATTTTGTGTGTGAATAAAGGGTAAAACAGAACTTTTAATGTTTTTCTTAATTTGTGTAAAAAGTGTCAAAATAATATTTATTTTGAAACAGAACGAGTATTATTTAAAAGGTCAAAAAAGGTTAAAGTCATAATCTTGGCCTTTCGCAGCTTTAAGAGTTAATAATTTTAATTATTAGTATATATAATCATTAATTAATCTCAATTTACTCCGCTTAGTCGGTTCCATTTTTCGAGGTTAACAAAAAAAGAATGATGTAATGTATTTAAGATAATAGTGGAATATATGGTATTGGTAATTCTAGACCATGACTTCGAAAGTCAACGAAAATGCAACTCGATGACCATTACCATAACACATGTTTGTTTGCTTGATGCGGTTGTAGTCAAATACGGCTCTAAGTTTGGAGCAAGAGATGAAGCTGAAAGAGATGGGAGCGACGATGAGGAACGGTGGACCATTAACGCAAAAGCTTAAGCTTGATGAGGAGAAGCAGAAGAAGGCGATGAACATAATGAATAAAATGAACGTAGAACGACTCTCTGAACTCATTGCTTTCTATCAATTGATGGGTAAGATATCTAGTGAGGTGTTGGAGAGCAAGCTTCATGGCTCAGTCAATGACAGCATTGTTGTCCCTCAATGACGTCACCAAATTGTGATGATGAATGTTTAAATTTGGGGGTGTAAAATATTTTATGGTGTTTGATGTTACTTTGTGTTTACGAGAAGTTTGCTAATGCCTCAATTATTTGTTTGCGTTTGAGTTTATGTTTGTTTTTTTTTTTTGTGTTTCGAGTGTATATATTGTCTAAATGAACTTGTATTAAACTAAAAAGAAAATAAATTAAACATAAACGCCAAACAATATTCTTTTTACATACAAATGCTAATGGAAATGTAAAAGCTAGTGTTAAAACAATATAGAAGAACTGACTAAGTAGTTGGTGATCTAGTGGTTCCAGAAATATTAAAAGTCGTTAGTTTAATCCAATTTAGAAAGAGTGAATTACGTTTTAAACGCAATATTATAGTTCAAACAAATTGGGACAAACTTCACGAATTCATAAAAACAAAAACAAAAGTGTAACCGTGGAGACCAAAGGAAGATGGTGATTGATGTGATTTGATGTGATAAAGTGGAATGGGAAACGCATATTCATATTACTATATCGTGCATTATTAATTTATTAACACGTCGGAGACCTAAGTAACGTCCAAAAAAAAATCAGTTTGTAAGAATATTCCAAAAACAACACTTCTAGAGTTTATCTATTACGTGGGAAAAAAGTGTTGATTTTACCAAAAGAAAAAAAGTGTTGATGTATCATTGTGCCTGAGGAGGATGAATCCTCTTTTGAAATAAAAACGCGTCCAACTTTTTCACGGCAATTTCCGATGATGAATTTGAATATTTCTCACGTTTTTAGTCATACTGAAATGTAAATGTTGAATCACTAAGATCTGACTCTAGGCCCAATGCTTTTCACGCCTCAAATACAATAGATTTTTTTTTTTTTTGGTATGAATGTTAAGATTGATACAGTTGCTGAAAATACAATGTTATTGTTGAACAACTTATTACAACAGAGAACTAAAGAGCAGTGCTTGTACTTGCCGCTGGACAGGAGAGTAGACGATCCTGTATATTCCGATCAACCGCCGATCTGATGGAGCCCACCGTTGAGGAGGTTGAGGTGAAGATACGATTGTTGTGTTCCTTCCAAAGCAAGTATATAACTGTCTGGAAGAGGAGCCGAGCGAGCACTCCTTTCCCGAATCCACGGAGCGATGGGTTTTCTGTGATTGAAGCAGCAGCGGTGCGAAGGTTTTGCGGCTGCTGGAGACCTAAGCCCGAGGCGAAAACGCTCCAAATGTCATAGGAGAAAGAACAAGCGAAGAACAAATGATCATGGGTCTCGTGTTCCTGTGCGCAGAGACTGCAATCACTCGGTACGTTAAGACCCCAGCGTCGTAGCCTATCTCTTGTTGGCAGTCGCGCTTGTAAGGCTAGCCAACCAACAAAGGAGCAGCGGGGAATTGCCTCCTTGAACCATATCACTGAGCTCCAGGTAACCGGGGGAGATCGGTTGCGGAGGAAGTTCCAAGTTGACTTGGAGGAGAAGTCTTTGACAAATATGCCCGAAGCATTTCGCCAAAGGTAAATGTCGGAGCCCCTGGACGGTGATGGAGGAGCAATCGTTGATAAAACGATCTGCAGGGTCTCCGCCTCATCTGACCTTGCTGCAGGCAGAACCCAGTTCCCATTTCTTGTGGCCTCATTCACGGTTGCTTCTCTTTGGATTTGAAGCTCTCGTGGCCCGCCGATACCAAACACCGATATCATCCGCCCCATATCATTCCAGGTGTCATACCAGAAGGAGGCTGTTTGTCCGTTTCCGACTGTACAATGCATGAGGTCAACTAGGACATGTTTCAGCTGCAACATGCTCCTGACAGATCTGGAATGTCTGCTTGTATCCTCGGTCAACCAGAAACCTTTCCTTCCGAACACATGTGCATTAACCCAAGCCACCCACAGGGATCCAGAGTTTGAGAAAAGGTTCCAAATCTGTTTGAGCCTGAAAACCTGCTCAAAATCATAAACCAAGCGAATTCCTAGCCCGCCTTCCCCTTTTGGTTTACATATATTACGCCATGCTACTCTGGCCCCTCGAGCAGAACTTGTTTTGTTATTCCACAAGAAAGCAGAACACAACGAATCCACTTTCGCAAAAAATACAATAGATTTAGTTACTTCTGTGAGTTCACTGATTATATTTTCTGCGATATGCATTATAATTTTTTTTTTCCTTCGTTTTGGCTTCTTAATTTTATATTTTTTATAATAAATACGTTAAAAAAAATGAATTTTTGATATCAAAAACAATCCAAAATGATTTTTTTTACGATTTTACATATTTGTCAATTTTAACCAGACCAAAATTAATATTTATCAAATTTAATTTCATATGAAATTTATCAGATTTTTCTTTTTAAATTATTGGATTTCTATTGCGAAAATTGAACATTTTTATATTTTTTAACGATTAATTTTTTAGATTTATCAAAAATACATTTAATCTTTTAAATAAATTACAGTTAAATTCAGTATTACAACGGTCAAAATATTAAAGTTGTCGAAGTTGAGAATATATTTTAAAAAATAGAAAAAATATATTTTTTTCTTAGATATATTTTAAAGTATTTGAAATATTAACAACATAAAAATTCTCAAATATAAATTCTATCAGAATAAATAATATAAGTGGACATGCGCAAAAATGACAAAAAAGTTATCATGTATTTATAATTATTTGAAATACACTTAAAGAGTCTTATATAAAATATCAGAAAACAATAGTATCTAATATATTTTATATATTAAATCAATTTGAAATAATATTATAATTTCTCTGTCTGATATCACTTATATGAAATACATTCATGGCCAAATTGTGTTCCCATAATCAACTAAAATTCGAACCTGAGACAGACCTCATTAAAAACCTTGGACAACTGCAAAATGCCAATATCATGATTCATGCACCATTTAATGCTCTTGCAATAGAGAACTTTTATATTAGTAAGAAAAACAAAGAACAAAAAACAAATACTCTTTCAAAGTAAACTAATACAGACATATATATATATATCAAGTCAAGTCGCCGCTTCCGCTACTTGACTTGGCCCTCAAGCTCCTCACCGTATCCACCTCATCTCTATGATTTTTCCTCTCTTTCCCTGTTTCTTTAAACCACTTCCTCTGCGACTGCTCTCCTCAACACAAACCAGACGAAGAACACACACTATTCATAAACCAAATAAATCATGTACTATCTGCCCACTTCTTGTCTGATCTTTTTATTCCTCGTCTTCGTATCTTACCCTCTTCCTTGTGCTTCAAGTAAGCAAGAACATGGATGGTGTGAGGCCCTGTTTCAATGTGGGAACATAACCGCTGGTTTCCCCTTCTGGGGAGGGAATCGTCATGAACATTGCGGTCATCCATCGCTGAAGCTTCACTGTAACAAAAACAACAGTGCCACTTTAATCATCTTAGACCAAGAGTACTCTGTTCTCCATCTAAATCATACATCTTACACTCTTACACTTGCCAGAAGAGACCATCTTGGTTCTTTTTGCTCCTCTAATTTCACCAATATTATCTTGCCTCCAAATATTTTCGAGCTTTCCTCAATCTACGAGAACCTCACTGTATTCTACCAATGCGAATCTTTTCATCCTTACCTTCCGAGTGATACATGTCCAAAGAAAGGTTTTATCTCAGTCTCTGACAATCCTGGATATCATGAGACCTGCCATGATAATTTCACCGTGAACGTTCCTAACAGATTCGTTACAGAAGAGAAAGAAAGGGATGTGGCACATTTAGAAATTGCTTTAAAAGAGGGATTTGAGGTGAAGGTGAAGATCGATGAGAAGGCGTGTGAAAATTGTTTATCTTCGCATAGAAGATGTGGCTTCAACGAATACTTGCCATCAGAAGTTAAATGCGGTCCATTCCCTCCACATACTGGTCAGTTTCTTACTCGTAGTTATCATTTCTTATTAACTTTCTTTAACAATTTGTGCTGAAGTAGCGGTTCACTGAGTTTATTTTAACCCTCTTAACTTTGACATAATAAACAAATAGTATGCTGTGCCTCTAAGTTATATCTGTTCCGATCTTCCTCTTTTTATTTCAACACTTTTAGATAAGTTTTTAGCAAAAAAAGGTGAAACTTGATTGCTTTGAAATTTTCTTTCTATTTGGCATTTTATCATCAACATTTGGGACCCCCCATTTAGACAAAATACATTAGTTCATTGTTCATTATTGGTGTTTGTGATATTTTTGAAAAAAACAAATTGTATTACTGGCATTTCAAAAAAAAAGGTGATATTAGATAATAGATATTGTCTAATATATTTTATATATATTAAATCGATCCTTAAGTATTATTGTAATTTTCAAGAGTATGATATGATCAAATTGTCCATCAACTTAAATGACTACATCATGATTCATGTATCAAATAGGGTTCCCTTAATCATCTGCAATCCAAACCTGAGGCAGACCTTATCAACTACCTTGGACACCATTTAATGTTCTTGCGATTCCCTTAAATAGAGAGAATTTTCACAATGGTAAGGAAAACAAAGACCAAAAAAATCTTTCAAAGTAAACTAATACCATCTACAGTCAAGTCTCCGCTTTTGTCACTATCCTCGCTTGACTTGGTCCTCAGGCTATTCACTATCCCTCTCTCTCTCTGTTTGTTTAAACCACTTCCTCTGCTCTCTTTAACACAAACCAAACGAAGAACACACACTATTCATAGACCAAAGAAAATCATGTACTATCTTCCCACTTCTAGTCTGGTCATTTTCTTTCTCTTCTCCTTATTCCACTATCTTCCTTGTTCTTCAAGTAAACTTGAATTGTGTGATGAGACTCTGTTTCAGTGTGGGAAAATCACTGCCAGATTCCCCTTTTGGGGAGGGAATCGTCAAAAACATTGCGGTCATCCATTACCGAAGCTTCAATACAACATGGACATCACTTCTATATTCATCTCAAATCAAGAGTTCATTGTTATCCATCTAAATCAAACATCCAACACTCTTACACTTGCCAGAAGAGACAATCGTCTGGGTTCTTTTTGCTCCTCTGTTTTCACCAACTCAAATTTACCTCCCGAAGTTTTCGAGGTTATGCCAACCTACAAGAGCCTCACCATATTCTACCACTGCGACCCTTCTCTTCCTTACCTTTTGATTAATAAATGTCCAGAGAAAGGTCTTATCTTAGTGTCTGAAAATCATGGATATCATGAGACCTGCCCTTCCAATTTTACCATGAACGTTCCTAAGAGCTTCGTTCAGAAACAGAGAGACTGGAATTTGACACATTTGGAAAGTGCTCTGAAAGAAGGGTTTGAGGTGAAGGTGAAGATCGATGAGAAAGCGTGTCAAAAATGTTTATCTTCTCATGAAAGATGTGGTTTCAACGAATCATTTCCATTTAAATGCGGTCCACTGCCTCCACCAACTGGTCAGTTTCTTACGCATCATTATCGTTTCGAATGAATTTTCATTTTCTACTTCTAAAAAGCCTAAAAATCACTGAGTTTTTTTTTAACCCTTTCCTTTGACATATCAAACAACTAGTAAGTTATATCTCTGGGCTCTAACTGATAACCAAAAGAATGAGAAGGAACACTAAATTTTTTATTTTTCTTTAAAAAATTATACCATTTAAAAAGAATATATATAATTATACTCATGATTCATTTTCATTCATTATATTTGAAGAAACTATAATGTTAATATTTCTTATCAAAATTGAGCAGGAACAATAATTTTTTTATTATTTTATTTTTTTCATTCATTTTTCTATTATCACTATTGTTAATTTAATAGTGAGCTAGTTTTCTATCTTCCTCTGTTAGTTTCAACACTTCTAGCTAAGCGTAGAAAGGTGAAACTTAACTGCTTTGAAATTTTCTACCTATTTGGCATTTTATCATCAAACACATTAGTTCACTGTTCATGGAATGTTAGGAGTATTTGTTTACATCTTTATATATGGAGTTTAATTGCTCATATGATCATATCTATATGTTTCTTTTGCTGTTTGGTTTCTGCTCCTTTCTTTTTGAGATTTTGTTTACTGTGAGCATTATATATATCACGTTTTAAAAATCTTGCATTATGCCCCTTACAGCACACTGCCTAGGATGAGTCTTTCACCATGGTAAGAGAATTCTTCAAAAAAAATTAGCTTAGAGAAAAGTGAAAACAAAGAATTAAAAGTCGTTCGAAGTAAACACCCCCAAGTCTCCGCTTTTGTCACTATCCCACTTGACTTTTAATTCTAAGTCCTTCCACCGTTTCCACCTCAAGTTTATCTCTCTCTCTCTCTCTCTCTCTCTCTCTCTCTCTCTCTCTCTCTCTCTCTCTCTCTCTCTCTCTCTCTCTCTCTCTCTCTCTCTCTCTCTCTCTCTCTCTCTCTCTCTCTCTCTCTCTCTCTCTCTCTCTCTGTTTAAATAATTTCCTCTCCTCTCCTCAACATAAACCAAACGAAGAATATATACACACTATTCCATAGACCAAATAAAATCATGTACTATCTCCCCACTTCTTGTCTAATCTTCTTCTTCTTCTTCCTCTTCTCCTTATTCCACCCTCTTTCTTGTTCTTCAAGTAGAGTTGAATTGTGTGATGAGGCTCTGTTTCGGTGTGGGAACATCACGGCTGGTTTCCCCTTCTGGGGAGGGAAACGTCACAAACATTGCGGTCATCCATTCCTGAAGCTTCAATGCAACATGGACAGCACTTCTATATTCATGTCAGATCAAGAGTTCATTGTTCTACATCTAAATCAAACATCCAACACTCTTACACTTGCCAGAACAGATCATCATCTGGGTTCTTTTTGCTCCTTTAATTTCACCAACATAACCTTGCCTCCAGAATTTTTCGAGCTTTCCTCAACCTACAAGAGCCTCACTGTATTCTACCACTGCGAGCCTTCTCTTTCTCACCTTTGGAGTGATAAATGTCCAGAGATTGGTCATACCTCAGTCTCTGAATACCCTTATCATCATAACACCTGTCCTTCCAAATTCACCTTGAACCTTCCTAGTAACTTTTTTCTGGAAGAGAAAGAATCGAGTTTGGCACATTTGGAAAGTGCTCTACAAGAAGGTTTTGATGTGAATGTGAAGATCGATGTGAACGCGTGTCGAAAATGTTTATCCTCTCATGAAAGATGTGTATTCATCGAATCCTTGACATCAGGATTCACATGCGATCAACCACCAACTGGTAAGTTTCTTAAGCATCACTATCATTCTTGTTTTAACAACTTATATTTGAAGTAGCGGCTCTTCTTCTAATAAGCCTAAAGATAGTTTTTTTAACCCTTTACTTTGACATATCAAACAAATAACAATTAGTAAGCTATGTTACTTACTTAAATCTGTTCCGATATTCAACTGTTTAAATTTTCACACTTTTAGTTTTAGACAGCTTACTAGTGAGTTTAAAAAAGAACTGAAACAAGATATAAACCTAAGTGCACTTAAAATTTCTTCCGGCTCCAGCAAATTGACATTAACTTAGCATTTAGTCTCCCTTTCACTAACTGAGTGTTCTTCTTCGACATCAATCTGATATATAGTGTTCACATAATCATCCTAAGACCTCAAACCTTGGACAGTCTGAAAAATGTCTATATCATGATTCATGCACCATGCAGTGTTCCCACAAGTCCTTAAATATCGTACATAAGGATTGAAATAGCAGTGGAAGGATTTGTAATCTTGTCCTCCAACCCCATAAATTTTCCTCCAATAGTCTTTCAAAGTTCTAGCGTAGAGAAAAAATAAAATAAAGTCTTTCAAAGTAAAATAATAATGTCACTATCCCACTTGACTTGATTTTTGCCTCTTTGGTCCCTTACCCTTTCCACCTCATCTTTATGCTTCTCTCTCTCTCTTAAAATCACTTCCTCTGGTTATCTCAACACAAACCCACCCCTAAAGACACGCTGTTCATAGATCTCAATCAAGTCATGTACTATCTCCCCACTTCTTGTCTGCTCTTTTTCGTCCTTTTCTCCTTATTCCACCATCTTTCTTGTGCTCCAAGTAAAAAAGAACCTGGATGGTGTGAGGCTCTGTTCGAGTGTGGGAACATCACCGCAGGTTTCCCCTTCTCTGGTGGGAACCGTCCCCAATTTTGCGGTCACCCATCACTGGAGCTTCACTGCTATAAAAACACCACATCTATGATCATCTCAAACCATCTCTACGATGTTCTCCATATAGATCCAAAATCTAAGACTCTTAGACTCGACAGATCAGAGCTTAGAGTCTCTTTTTGCAACGCTACATTCACAGCCGCAACCTTGCCTCCTGATATCTTTGAGCTTTCACCAACCTACAAGAGCCTCACTGTCTTCTACCTCTGCAACCCTAAGCTTCCTTACCATTCGAGCTATACCTGTCCTGGTAGAGGTCTTATCTCAGTATCTCAAACCCTTGATTATCACAATTCTTGTGATGACAGTTTCACAATTAACGTTCCTAAGAGCTTCGTTCCAGAAGAGAAAGAGTTGAACATTACCAATTTGGAAAGTGCTTTAAGAGAAGGGTTTGATGTGAAGCTGAAGATTGATGAGAAAGCGTGTCAAGGATGTTTATCCTCTAATGGAACATGTGGCTTCGATAGTACACAGGTTTGCTGCAAGAATGCCTCATCATCAGTATGCAGTAGAGTCCATCCAACTGATGGTTAGTTTTCTTGTACATCATCATTATTTGATAAGCCTCTTCCTTAGCAACTTGTACTGAAGTTGCAGTTTAGATAAGCCCAGGATCATTTCCTATAATCGTAGATTTCCTTTTACCAAGTTTTTTCTCATTCTACTCTATTTTTGTTTCGACCTTCTTTTGTTGATTCTCACACATTAAGACATAGGCATTAGTCACATAGCTTACTAGTGAGCTTGAAGGAGAAGGTGAGAACCAGATATGAACTTAACTGGATTGACGTCTTCTTGCTCTCTAGAAAAATTGACATTAGCTTTAGCATTTGTCACTTTCTTTAATTTATTGCATTTTATTTTTTCTATATCAGTCAGTTTCTGTAGTAAATTGTGTTGTTTGCCTTATTCCACACTCCATTTCTCTGAAAATTCTTTAGATTCTCTGAAACTGTAAAACAACAATGACGGAAAGGTACTATTGCTCTGGTCAAAATTTGTAAAACCAGAACATAGTTTTGGGGATTTTTATTTATTGTCAATTAGGTCCTTCTGAGAAAATTCCAAGAACCTGACTTTTTAAGTCGTCGTTCAGGAAAAAAACAAAATAACAGAAAATACAAATGATAAAGAAGTATCCAACTTTGGACATAGTCCAAAGTGGGAACTCGTTTGAATATTCTATTAACAAAAAGAAAGAAAAAAACTCGTTTTACATCACTATTGCTATCGTCGTTTACCAATATACATTCAAAGTCTTCGTTGCAAGCCACCTAATTCCAAAGAAACTTCGATTAGGAAAATATATATTCTAGAAAGAAACATTACAAAATTAATATAGTGAAGGTTGGTCAAAAAGATCAAACATAGGTTCCTTTAGTTCAACTCTTACAAAACTAAGACATTCACCATTTCCTTCATATCTTCTTCTTCTTCACCCGTTTTCCTATTGACCTCCAACACAATGATCAATCTATTTCTCTCCCCAACAAAATATATGTACTATAGAATCGTATGGATGCTCTTTGTAATCCCATCATTTGTTTTCTCAGCTGATGAGCATCACAGACGCTGCAGTCAACCGTTTAGTTGCGGCAATCAGAATGATCTCTCGTACCCATTCTGGATTACTGGCAGAGACGAGTGCGGCCACCCTGAGTACAAGCTCGAATGTAACACAAACTCCGGTTTCCCAGAGGTTAGCATCTCCTCCGTCAAATTCACAATCTTACAGGCAAACTACCCTACCTCCCGTATCATAAAACTCGCTAGATCGGAGTATATAACCGATGTTTGTCCCCAAAACCCATTAACTGAACCTTTCAACGAAAACGTCCTTCGACTGGTCTCTGGCACCGAGCTGCTGACGATTTATTACGATTGCCAAGAATTTCGAACTTCAACTTATGTCGGGGAGCTTACTTGTGATGATGGACGAAGTTACTATGTTACAAGAAGCCTCTCGTCCCCTCTACTTGGAGGGATGAGAGACCTTTTAAACGGCTTCAGTGGATCGTGCGAAAGAAACGTCAGTATTCCCGCATCTGGACCAGCGCTGAATACACTACAAAGCAATCCCAGTCAAGATAATTTTAGAAAAGCTCTTAGAGAGGGTTTCGAGGTTGGACAAAACCGAGAATGTTTGAGGTGCATGGACTCTGGGGGTGCTTGTGGTTATAATCAGACAGTAATCTTAAGTGAATTCGTCTGCTATTGTATAGATGGGCCTCATAAACATACTTGCCGTTCTACAAACCGTAAGATTTCTTCCCTACATATTCTAATTTCCTAATGTTCTTCCACAATAATCACCACTAGTCCCTTCCCCCAAATCAACCCACTCACCCACCTTTTGATTTCGATCATCTAATTAAAGAGAATCCCTTTAGTTTCTGATAACTATATATTGAAACTCATTTAAGTTTCAAAGTTTTAGATTCTAGTAAGATTCGAAGTTCTCTCTTCAATTTGGACTGACCTTTTCCTGGTGTTAATCTGTTGATGCAGGCCTCTCCACTGGACTGATAATAGGTGCACATCTCTTTTCCTCTTCTATCGCCACACCCGATTCGATTAGCATATACACCACCATTGTCTTATTATGAAAATTGTTTTTGGTTTTGTCTCTAGGCATTGTGGCTGCTTGTGGATTGGCGGTCATTCTTGTAGCCGTAGGTTTGTTCTGTCTCATCAGGCGGAGAAGAAAGACACAGTCAGATCAGTGCACAAGCAAAGACTTGCCAGTAACTTCTTATTCAAGCAGAGAAGCATCAAGCTTTCCGACTTCCACAACATACTCCAGCAGCAATCACTCTCTTCTTGCCTCAATCTCCAACGTCGCAAACGGAAGCACCTACTTCGGAGTTCAAGTCTTCAGCTACGAAGAACTCGAGGAAGCCACTGAGAATTTCTCTAGAGAGCTCGGAGATGGCGGCTTCGGTACAGTCTACTACGGTAAGAACTAAGAAACCACTGATTCTTCAAAAAAAGATTTGAGTTCTGATCAAACAACCTTTGCCGATTTCTCCTTCCTCAAGGCTTGTTGAAAGATGGACGAGCTGTAGCAGTGAAACGACTCTACGAGAGGTCGCTGAAACGCGTTGAACAGTTCAAAAACGAGATCGAGATCTTGAAATCGCTGAAGCATCCGAATCTCGTGATCCTCTACGGATGCACATCGAGACACAGCAGAGAGCTTTTGCTCGTCTATGAGTATATCTCAAACGGAACCCTCGCCGATCATCTTCACGGCGACCGTGCTGAATCTCGTCCTCTTTGTTGGCCGGTTCGTCTGAACGTCGCGATCGAAACCGCAAGCGCTTTAACATTCCTCCACAAATCAGGTAAAAACAAAAATTCGAATTTCAATTTGAGGGAAAAAATCGGAGAATCTCGTTGATTCGATTTTCTGTTTGCAGGGATCATACATAGAGACGTGAAGACGACGAACATTCTTCTAGACGAGAATCACACCGTGAAAGTAGCTGATTTCGGTCTCTCGCGGTTGTTTCCGACAGATCAAACACACATTTCCACGGCGCCGCAAGGGACTCCGGGATACGTAGATCCGGAGTATTACCAATGTTACCGTCTAAACGAGAAGAGCGACGTTTACAGCTTCGGAGTCGTACTCACCGAGCTCATCTCTTCTAAAGAAGCCGTCGATATCACAAGACACCGCCACGATATCAATCTAGCGAACATGGCCGTTTCCAAAATCCAGAACAACGCGTTGCACGAGCTCGTGGATCCGAGTCTGGGATTCGAGATGGATCCGGAAGTGAGGAAGAGGATGATGGCGGTGGCTGAGCTTGCGTTCCGATGTTTGCAGCAGGAGAGGGAAGTGAGGCCGTCGATGGATGAGATCGTGGAGATTCTGAAGGGGATCAAAGGGGAGAAGCGCGATTCGGCGCCGGATGTGGTGGATATTGAAGGAAGCGGAGGAGATGACGTTGGATTGCTGAGGCATAGTGTTCCTCCGCCGATTTCGCCGGAGACTGATAAGTGGACGAGTAGTTCGGATACGGCGGCGAGTTCGTTTTGAGAGATTGTATAATTAGGGCTCATCGGTGGTATTATAGTAAGTGGTTTTGCTTAACTTCTTTTAATTTTTTTTTGGGGATCGACTGTATCAAATGGACGTACTAGTTTTATGTTACACTAGGAAAAATTTCAATGTTCCTGTTATTTTAGGCCAATAAACATAATTATGTTTCATATATGAGAATTGCCTTCTATAATATAAACAAAATATAATTTTATTTACTTAATTACAGTTGTTTATATATAAAAAATTAAATATATATGAATTTGCAAATCATGGAAATCAAATAAAAGAATTAAATAAATGATTACTTTAATATAGCATAAGGGTATTTTTTATAGCAATGGTTAATCACCTAAACTTCTATAGTTGGATTCAGGTTTGTGGTATGGAAAACATTTTTATTATATTTTTAATTTTTTAATGTTAGGCAAACAATTTCTTTTTACATTTTATAAACCAAAATCTATTAAGCCGAGAAAAGTTGATATAGCATAACAGTATTTTTGTTGTCTTTTTTTTAGAAGAAAAATAAATAAAATTTTATTGTTGTGATTGAGAAAGGAAAGTAGAACTAATTAATTTAATCTATATTATGTGTACATTATAAAAAAAATGGAAATTGGATTGTAAAATAAAAAAGGAAATTGAGATAAATAAAAAAAATTATAAATTAAAAAAAGAAATTAAAGCGTTAATTCTATCAATATATCTCTACCGCTTACTTGTATCCCTAATCAATTTACCATTTCTCATATTGCATTTCTCTAAAGGTTTTCTCTCAGATTTCACTTCTCTTAGGGTACCCCCAATTCCACCACTTATGGTTAGAAATCATTATGAAAAATCCCCGTTTTCTTCTGGAATCGAATATCTAGGCCACAATATAGAATAATGAATTTTGTTTACAGCTAGGTTTAGCAAATACTTGATCACATTTTTACTTTCTCATTTTGTTTTTCTTTCTTTTTAGCTTTGATTTATTTTAAAAATGTTTGTTATTTATATCATTTTTATATAATTGTTTTATAATATGTTAATTTATGTATCAAAAGAATGTTTTGTTACATAAACTTAGTAAAGTTAAAGATTTTCAAGAGGTTAAAAGAAAATTAAAAAAAACTAATCGCAATATAAATTGGTATTTTTGTATATTTATGCGCTTGGCGCAGGAAACCACCTATTATAAATAAAATATATTTTTATTTGCTTTAACTACAGTTGTTTATCTATAAAAATTAAATATATTAGATGAGTATTTGCGCGATGCGCGGATCTTTTTCACAATATAATTTGTTAAAAAGTATAGTTACAATTTATTTTATATTTTTGGATATTAATTATATATTGTTATTAAAATATATTATCTAATACTTCATATTTTCATATTATTTTGGTATTATGATTAATAATCCATTAAATTTATGCATTAACTGTATTTTATATAATTTGTATCATTAAATTTAAAAAATGACACATGTCATTTTTACAATAAACCAAAATGATGAAGTGGCACTCTTATGGAGAGAGTTGGCCATCTTTTATAGTATAGACTAGGTATATAACTCGCGCTACGCGCGAGTCTGTATTAATATTTTGCTATAATTTTTTTTAGCTACTATCTTTAAAATTATTAAAAATACAATATATTTATAGAAATTTTCATTTATATAAGAGAATTTAACATATAATGTGTAATTTATCCTATTTTTATTTATAAATTTTAAAAAACTATTAGGTAAAATAATAACAATGACACCTATCGAATTATCCAACTTTGACGTACATATACATATGATTTAGAAAAATATAATCTTGCTAGAATTTTGGTATTATTTTCTGTTTTCCATAGAATTTTTATAGTTCTTTTTCTTGAAGGTTTATGTGTTCAAATATTTAGTTTTTTTTTTATTGAAAGTCTTATTGATGTTGTGTACTACTACATATATAATCTATGATTCATGTTGATTCGCATTTAGTTTTGTTCAAAAGCTGTAATGATCATGCAAAACTATTTTTTCCTTCTCCATCATATCTTCCAAGAGTTTTATGTTATATTTTATTCAGTTTTCATTGTTTTAATTGTTAAATCGAGTTGTTGTAGATTTTTTTAAATTGATAATTGATAATGGTTACTTTTTTTATACATGTATTGTTAATTGTTCATTTTTTAATTTAACTTTTAAATTTCTAAACCATATTAATATTTTCTGATTTAATAAATATGTTGAATTGGATCAATCAGATTGAATTTACCTTTTCTTGTTGGACATAATTTGTTAAATTAACTTTTAATATTTTAATTATACTATATAATTTTTGGTTTGATAAAAAAGCTGATGTGGACCAATTAAATCAAGTTCTTTCATCCTAATCATACTTAAAAATTTTTTATTTAATAAATATGCTGATGTGGACCAATCAGATCGAGTTTTTTAATCTCATGTGGACGCCCTCAATGCACTATGCCATCAACTTTTATATATTAATTTTTTTTTATCTACATGTGATTACGTTTTTGATTACTAATTAAAATACTACATAATTTTTAATTCAATTATATTACTAAGAAAAAAACATTATAACGCTATCAAAAACATGACGGCTAGGGTTTTGGGAGATCACAAGGGCGATCCTCAGATTTGATCTCATCTGGTCGAAGGGTTCCCCTGATTCATTTGTGCCGTTATAGATCTTACAGGTAAGGTCTCTTTTGTCTTGAAGGAAGTGCACGGAACTGAATCACTGGTAGAAAAGCATAGGGTTGCGTGCGAGGGACGGTTTCGGGATTCGTAGCTGAGTTCAGTTTTTACAGACGTGTTGGTGTGGGAAGGTTATACTTCGGGAAGTGTCTTATTACAAGCTGAACCATTTTTCCCCTGTAATAGGGCGTAGTTTAAGGCGATTCCCCAGAAGTTATCATGATGTCTCGGTCTGATTATCACTGAAGAGGGGGAAATTCGAACAGAGTTCGACGTAGACTTGAGACGGAAGAGGATATCATCGATATCCCAGATTTTGACAATTCTGATTTGGTGGAAAATTTTAAGCTAACCTTAGTGGGAAGGATGTTCCATTCAGAAGGAAGAAGCATAGATGTCTTAATAACACTGATGCCAAGGGCAAGAATATGGAACATGGAAGGCAAAGTAAGAGGTTCCAATGGGAAATTTCAGTTCGACTTTGATAAGGAGGAAGATTTGCAAAGAGTCCTAAATCAGAGACCATGTCATTTTAATCGATGGTGCTTCTCGCTGAAAAGATGGCGACAACAATTGACGAGGATTTTCCAAACACAATGGTGTTATGGGTAAAGATCGCAGGATTACCAATACATTACAAGAAGGAGGCAGCCTTTCGTGCGATAGGAGCAAAATTAGGAGATGTTCTTCAAGTAGACGAAATTGGGTCAAGAGTACAAGTTTCCCTTAATGGAGATAAACTTCTGCAGTTTGAAAGAAAAGCTGGCTTCAAAAATGGGGACATCATCAAAGTAACAATGAGTTATGAAGACCTCTACAGATGGTGCTACACATGCAAGATGATCTCTCATGAAGAAGGGACTTGTCCAGCTCTTACTGATGATCAACGTGAAAGAAATAGACTGGAGAGAATCGAGCAAAAAGAAAAAGAAGAATTAGTGGCGACAGAAATGTTCCCCCCACGAGATTCTTACTTTCCAGGAAGAATCAGATCGCCAAAGAGAGGAGGCAATTCTTTCGGAGCAGATTCTGGAGGGTTTGGGCCAATAAGGTCACGGCCAGAAAACAGAGCACGGCCAGAGTACAGAGGCGCAAGAGAGTCCAGAGACCTACGCACAGAGCTACAAGGAAGGAGAGAGGAACGTAGCAGGAATATCTGGAATAGAGTGGAGGACTTAGCAATAGAACCAATTCCCCGGTATCGGGAGAGAGCTCATCCATTTCAAAAAAATTCTAGCGATAGAAACTATACAGCTGACAGGCATAATAGGATTATGGAAAGAAGTGATGCCCGTATGGAGTGGAGACCATGACAGCATATTAACAGAGAACAAGGAAAAGACAACGAAGGTCCCGGGGAAGGGCGATCATCAAGGATTGATAGAGAACAGGGAGGAGATAAAACTTCTTGTGTGGATTCCCAGCGCACCATCTCAGAAGTCAACGTGCTGTCTAGAACAGAGCCACCCAGAAAATCGGGAGTACTGGTAACCCATCATGGAGAAACAGAGGAGGAAATAACTAGAAGAATAAAAGGGAAAGGTTTAATGGTGGCTCCTCCAACACGAAAGGCGGAGTCCAGGATCAACACTTTAGCAATCAGAGTTCTAGAGGAAAGAAGCCGAGCTAGTCAGACTACAAATCAGTCCAATGAGACACTAGGATCGGATGATGAAGAAATGTTAGAAGAGATCAAGGATACGTCAGAATCACAGGAAAAAGACCCAGAATTTGAATTAAACTTACATAAGGAGATTGAGGAGATGGCTATGTACAATGAGTTAAAGGACAATGATGATCTGCTAGATGAGGATTTTGAAGAGGGGGCAGAGAAGATAGACGCTATATCCCAGCTGGAAACGTACAGAGAGGAAGTCGGAATAGAACAAGATGAGGTGGATGTGTCAAGAGTGCTGGAAACTCAACTGCAATCTCTCCCGATACAGAAAGTGCCACCAAAGGAATCCCCAAAGAAGGGGCGGTTAAATAAGGAGATCAACATAAAAAGAAAGCTATGGAAGGTGCTTACTATGGAGGATCGCCAGGATCAAAAAAGCTTCATGTCCTACGTAGTCGTCAATATCCAAAAAAGAAGACCACCTTGACCTCACGTCATAACTCGAAGATGTCTTCTTACATCCCTCGTTCTGAGGTGTTGCCTTCGGCTCTGGGAAAAAAGAGTTCTGCTGCTTTTGGTTCGGTGGTGTCCCAGAAACCACCCAGTAAGAGATGTTGAATACAATATCCTGGAACTGCCAATGAGCGGGAGCCAAACTGACAAAACAACACTTGAAAGAACTCCATCACTGCTTTCGGCCTGAATTTCTCTTTCTCTCTGAAACTTAAAACTCTTTTTCTTTTTAGCAAGAATTACAAGTTTCTTTAGGTTATGACAATCTATTTACCGTGGACCCTATTGGGAGAAGCGGTGGTTTAGCTCTTCTCTATATGCACTCTTTTGATGTTAATATTTTGTTCTCCAACAATCGGATGATTGACATAGAAGCACGAATTGAAGGCAA